AGTGTTTCTAAATTATTGCTCATCATTTCTTTTGTAAGTTTTGGAAAAAGTGACTTTGTGTACCTTGTTTAGAAGGTGCCTTTGTGAGTCCTGAAGCCCTACTCACCTTCGGTGTTGTTGGAGTCAATTTAGAATGGAGTCTATGTCCTGTAAGAGGCCCTAAGCATCTGCCTGCCTGCCCCATCTCTAGAGAATATCAAAGGCTTTTTTTACTAAAAAAAATATATCAAGAGAAATGATTTTGACCAGTAACAAATACTGCCCATTGGTTGAGATAATAAATTCTAGGCACTGCCCTTTTTGATAATTTTGATGCTACTTTTAAAATGTAACTCTTATCTTACCCACATAAGTCAGTGTGTGCTCTTTTTTTAAATCTACTCAGTTCAGAAATACCTCAGCAGATTATCACATTGTAATTGGTCCAATGTTTCCTTCATATTCTAATTGATATTTCCATAGACTCAGAGCACTAAGTATATGTAAAGTCAGGACTGGAGCACAGTGCAGGTTTTCTGATCCCATGCAGACCGGGTAAAGGAGGAGTCAGAGTCCTCAGTAGTTTTGCAGGTTTTTTATTTGGGGTTCACCAGGCATATGGCAGGCAGGGGTGCTGGCTGGGGGGCTGGGAGGCTGGCAGTCCTCCCAGCCCCCAGCAAGTCTTCACTCTATCTGGGCTCTCTAGCGTTCGTTCTGCTGCTTCTCGGCTTCTCTTTCGGCTTCTGCTTCGGCTTCTACTGCTGCTGCTACTTTGACTTCTGCTGCTGCCGCTGCTGCTGCTGGCGTCCCCGTGATGCCACCCTTAAAAGCACAGTCTTAACTCAGCTGAATCCCATCTACCTATGCCCACACCCTATTCCAGGTGCCCGCCATCAGGCATGCATTCAGGACAAGGATCCATCATCTATCCTGATGGCGGAAGGGCAGAAAAGCCTGACATTTTCTTTACCCTACAGTATATTGTTGGACACAAATAGAAACTTTAAGTACAATCGGGAAAAGGTCCTCTTAACCTTGTAGAATGTTAACTGGCACCAGAAAGAATGGCTTTTTCATATGTTTGCAAGGGATTGACTAGAAAGTTGCAGTAGAGAGCAAAGAGGTATATAGTTAAAACTTTATAGCAAATGTCCCAATTTTTTCCTTGACTTTCTTGATATATAATTTCCATGCAGAATTACAAAGCCAAAAAAAGATATTTATTTTAATCAACTGCTACTGCTAGATGTTCATAAATTAAAGCATGTGATTTTAAGATGGTAATACACTAAATTGATGTAAATTCAATGTGATCCTTATCAAAAATTCAGCTGTTGTTTTTTTCAAAGGTCATGTTCTGATTCTAAAAAATATTCATAAATTCAAGGGACTCAGAAAAATCAAAACAAATTTGAAAACAGCAAAATTGGAAATGTTTTACTTTCTGGTTTTATAACTTTGTACAAGACTTTGTAAACTGGGGAAGAATACATATATAGGGCAATGGAATTGAACTGAGAATCCAAAAATAAACCCTTACATTTTTTGTCAATTGAGCTTTGATATGAGTATCAAGACAATTCAGTGGGACTGGTCTTTTCAATAAATGGTGCTAAACCACTAGAAATCCATATATAAAAATGAATTTAGAAACCTACTTCATATCACACATAAAAATTTATTCAAGATGGTAATAGGCCTAAATGTGAGTGCTAACACTGTAAAACTTAGAAGGAAATATAATAGCAAATCTATGTGACATGTATTCGACAGTGATAGCTATAACACCAAAACACAAACAAGAAGTGAAAAACTAAATTGAAATTCATTAACCTTCATTAAAATTTAAAACTTCTGGGGCCTCCCGGGTGGCGCAGCGGTTGAGCGCTGGGTTGCGAAGCTCCCCGCGGCCTCTGCGGCGCCGGTTCAATCCCCGGCTGCTCCCCGGCCACCGAGGAGGGTCCCACATGGTGCGCAGACCTCTCCTGACGCCCGCTGCTCCCCTCAGCAGTGTACTTCGGTCCTTCTGCCGGCTCTGCTCCCCGCTCTGGCTCTGGTGAATTCTCTCACCCTCCCGCGCTTCTGACTGTACCCAGTGCATGTATAAACAAACAAACAAACAAATAAACAAACAAACAAATAAATAAAAATACATGCCTCTTTAAAAAAAAAAGAAAAAGAAAACAGATATTTAAAAAAAAAATTTAAAACTTTTGTTCTACAAAGGACACATCAAGAAGGTAAGGAGACTGTCCACAGAATGAAAAAAAAAAAATTGCAACTCATGTATCTGTTAAGAAATTTGTATAAAGAATATTTTAAGAACTCTTACATCTCTATTTTAATAAGAAACATAATTACAGACATTTCTCCAAAGAAGATATACAGATTTCCCATAATCACTTGAAATGATGTTCATCAGCATTTGTTATTAGGGGAACATAAACCCAAAAACCCTTCACAATCTGGGATGGCAACATTTTTTAAAAGGGAAAACAGCTGCTGTTGGTAAGAATTCAGAGAAATTGGAACCCTCATATATTGCATATCGGAATGTAAAATTGTGTAGACACTTTGAAGATAGTACAGCAGTTCCTCAGTATGTTCAGTATGGAGTGGCCATACTTCTACTCCTACATATGTACCCAGGAGAACTACCAGCAAGAACCTCTTGTTTTTAGCAGCATTATTTCATAATCTTCTTAGCATCATTTTTCATAATAGGCAAAAGTATAAACAATTGCAAATGTCCATCAAGAGATGAATAGGTAAAGAAAACATGGTGTACCCATACACTGAAATATTATTTGGCCATACAACAAAATGAAACACTAATATATACTACAACAGGGATGCTTGCTTCAGAACATCTTGTTAAGTGGTAGAAACCACATATCTTAATGATTCTATTGATATGAAGTTTGAAGTTTCCAGAATGAGGTGGGATCTCTCATGTGTAAGGATTTGTCTTACACAATCTCCCTCTTGTGTAAGAGACATAAATAAGGAAGTTAATTCTTTTGACATAAATGCAGTCATAAGAAGTCCTGACATGAGCAATAGTAACAATTTGATGGCCAGAGTTCGGGGGCGGGGGTGCTGCAGGAAGAATGGAAAGTAATGGTTAATGGGTACGGAGTTTCTTTGGGGGAGGTGGTTTGAAACTGTTCTAAAATCTGATAATGATGATGGTTGCAAATTTCTATGACTAACCTAAAAATGACTGAATTCATAAAATGAATTTAATGTTCTGTGAAGTATATCTAATGAAACTTTTCTAACATAAAAGAGTGGGTCTTGAAGTCCCAGCCAAGCCTGAAAGGATTGCAGTTAGAGCTCTGGAACGTCATGAGAGATTCCACCTCAGAACTGCCCAATCAAGTGACTGTTAAATCTGACTAACAGTTACAAGGAGAGATAATGTTTATTTATTTTTAATCAGTGAAATTTTGGGATAATTTACTACACAGCATTAGTTCTGTGTTACTCGCTCCATTTATCCATTAACATTCCCAAATGATCTCTTTGTGTGTTATATGCTTAATTTATAGAGGAAGAGACAAACCCTTACCCTTCAGGGAGCTCCCTCTTATGTAAGAGACACAAATAAGGAAGTTAATTATTTTGACATAAATGCAGTCGTAAAACGTCCTGACATGAGCAATAGTCACAATTTGTTAAATTGTCTACCTATTTTTATAACCTGACCAACCCTGTCTCTTTTCTCTGTAACCGTATATCTAGACCTTCATCATAATATGAATGTTCAAAAGCTTTCAAAGACATTTATCTTTTAAGATTTGGTACCTTAAACTAAAAAGCATTCTTTAACCTTATGAATTTTCTTCCCATTATCATTGTGGAGAGAAAAAATGTATATTTTAAAAATGTAGTATAGAATAACACCTACATAAAACCAGCAACTCCTACATGAAATGTTATGGTCCAAAATGAAATGTGTGTGCGTGTGTATATACATTTTACTCAATACACTAACTAATTGAGTTATGACTCAATGTCTTTTTTTCTTCAGGTTGTTGATGTACAATCTCTTAAGTACAACCTCTTATCTCACATAGTTGCTTTTTGTTGTTGCTGAAGCAATGCCTTCAGAACAAGGAATGCTCTCCTTATAGGTGTGGTTGTCGATAATGCGTTTTCTCCATCTGGTTTGTTGTTTGAGTGAAACATATGTCCAGGATTCTTAATACTATTGTGACTACTTCTGAAGAGTAGTGTGTCTTCAGAATACACTGTATTACTGTTAGTATACAGTTCCAAAGATTAACAGAGAATTGATGTCTTGAATAAATGAGAATCTAAATCAGGCTTGCTTCTAGAATCTATTCTGTCCTTTACATTATATCCAGCCTAACTTTGCTCCTGGAGCACAGGACCTCTCTGACCCCCTTATCTCCTGGTAATAAAGAGTTTACCATTTTAGAAATTTAGTGGTTAATTTTAGTTTCTATGTACTGAAGATTATCCTTAGCATCGAAGTCTCATGGCAAAGTGAGAATTCCAGATTTATTTTTCTGCCCTATTCCTGTTAGACTTTTGATAGACATGACCTTGCCAAATAACATTTTTTTCCCCATGGGCTTTGCTTTCTTTGTATTTTTATTGTCATCAGGGGGTGCAAGCAAATGCAGTATCTTAAAGCTCATACATCACCACCTGTCAGTAGTACCTTCCCTTTGGTACCCTAACTGAGTTAAAACACTCAGTCCCAAAAGCTTATGCTTCAGTAGCAGGAAGTTAAATGATCTATTCCAAAGTTCTTAACATATTACCTAGTGTAAATTGCCCATTTGAGTATTTCTGAAACCAAAAGGGAAAGAAAAGAACATTGAAAGCATTGAAAAGATTAACACCTGTTTCTAGTCTTCAAAGAAATTAAAGCATCCTGTACATATAGATCCTGAGTAAAACCATTCACCCACTCATGTTGAGATGATCTATTCAAATTTTTAATTCTGTATGCATAGCATCTACATACTTATGGGTTTGTTTCATTACAGGATTCCACACAGAATGTAGAAGAGAGAGAAGTTATAAATGGTGTACAGACAGAACTACTGACATCCCCCAAATCTAAGGATGCATTGAGGTATTCTATTCATACAAATAATATTTATTTCAATTTAATGTTTGTTTCTTCAATAGTTCATAATTGCTTTTATTTTATAGGAAAGATGAAGATAAGTAGATTAATATATTGAAACCTGCTCCATATCTAAAATTACTATATTACCCTTTGCTCTCATTTTTTCTAGGATATGAAAACTTCTTAACAAACATACATACAAATGAGCCACAGTATTTCCAATATTCTCTGCAACCTGGATTCTTTAATTACTTTTTCTCTTTGAACAAGTTTAAATGAACATTTTATAGTTCATTGTGGTTGAGTGTTTTCCTTTGACGTTAGTTCTTTGAAAGTCGCCTTGCTTTGTGTTTTAACAGACCCACAATATTTTACTTCATGTACACAAAATGAATTCAGTCTGTTGACCAGGACTTTTCATGTTTTTAATGAAAATAATTCATTATACAAAATAGTTGTGCTCATTTTACCAGTATTTTCATTGCTCAGCCTTAATGTCCAGTTCAATCCTACTTATTGCTGGGATTCAATTCCCTGTTCTGTTGTTTACTGGTTCTGTGAGACTACATAAGTTACTCATCTCTCTTTACCTTAGATTCTAGTCTATAAAATAGAAATATTAAAACGTTCTTCAGAGGATTGGCATGAAGATTAAAGGAATTATCATATGCAAAGTTCATTGAGCAGTGTCTTACGGAGTAAGCCCTGTAACTATATGCTGCTGTTGCTACCATAATGTTGTTGTTATCATCATCATTATCATTATTAATCATTATTATTATTATTGTCATAATCATTGCCTTTTCTAAGTTGACTCAAATTTTGCATAAGGAAAGTAATTCCATATTTAATAGGTGGTTGGCTTCAGCACTAGAAGTTGATGCTTCTGAGCTTAATGCTTATTCAGTCAACATACTCCTTCTTTCATTCCAATCATGAATAGTGAAACATTTTACATGAATAAACCATTTTTTAAATATTATCTAAACATCCCTTCTCATGCCTTCTGTCCATTTGTTACAACCATTGTATTCTCTACATCAGGAATCTAAAAATATGTTCTTCAATCCTACACAATTTAAGAATTTTTAAAAAATCAGTTTAAAAAGTTGGAAAGATTGAGGTCATTATTCCCTTTTAATCCATATGATTATTTGTTACCTCAGAAAGTTCTAGCAATCGTTCTAATAGCGGAAATCTATTGCATCCTTATTATCTGATACTGTATGTACAATGTACATGTGTTCTTTATTTTTTTTCTTTAAAACTAACAACATTGTTAGAAATTTATTATAATTTCCTCACTGTACAAATCAGGACACTGATACTTTAAATGATTTACTCAAACACCTGATTCCATGTCACTTTCTCTCTAATTTCATAAGCAAATTATGGCTTCCTTCTGAAACAAGCATCTCCCCTAGTTCTGTCTGTCCCTTACCCTAAAACGAATGGCCTCTCCCTGAATTGTATTATCTTAATGCTAAAAATCTTTGCTTTGTGTAAAGAAATTAGACCTGCAAACATCTGCTGTATTCTCGTCCTCAAGCTTCATATCTTTCTTCTGAATAGAAACTAAATGAACCGCTTTCCATCTGGTTCATGCAGCAGAGCGGTTCATAATAGTCTTCTATTCAGCCACAGGCTCTCTACATTCACCCATAGTTTTGACCCAACCACTTAGACCATTAACAACTGGTTCTTGTGGCTATTTGAATCAGTTGTGTCAATTGGATCATGCTACATTTCACTTGTTTAATATTAACCATTGGAACTAATGCCTTGTGACTATCTGCTTTTGTTTTGGTATGGCATAGACAATTTTATAAAGTTAGCTATTTTGACTTTAGTTAAATACTTCTGACTTTTCTTTGTACAAGAGTGTTTTTCCTTTATTCCAGTTGACATTTTGTCTGTATTTCACAAGAAGCTGCCAATTCCATTTCCTTTCACAGCTAAAATATTCTTTCTACTTCATTTTCTACGTTTTCCATTCTCAGTCCACCTCTAAAACATAAATAAATGCATATATATATATATATATATATATATATATATATATATATATCTCCTGCCCACTGGTCCTGAACCCAGCTCTGCAGTTTGCCTAAACAAATAACATTAATAGCATATTTTCACATCTTAGTAAAATCTTACATATGAGATATATATTCAAATAATTGTGTCCGGCCCTACTTACTGTGTTTATCTTTCATGAAGTGTATATATACAGAGGTTTCTACAGAACTCCACCAAGTATATATAACACTGGGGTTTTTTTTTTCCCTCCTTTGAAATAAAAATACATGGGTTGGTCTGTAAGACTCCCTTTTTTAAATGCCTTTCTTTCCATTTTGAAACAAATTATAGAAATTTTACAGAATATGGTTAAACATGTTCTTTGTAAAACTTGTAATGTTTGCCTGTGTCATGTAGATCTAATTCTCCATGAGTGCCTTTATAGTACAATCAACAAAATAGTCTTTCATGCTTTACTTCTGGGATAATATTTTGTGACAGTAATTTAGCAGTTGTCAAATATTCTTCTAGCCAAAGAACTGTGACTATAATGTGTAAAGATAGCATAATTTTTACTCTGGAATATTAAAAAAATGAATTCTTACAGAGTAAAAATCCTTCAGACTGCACCCCCCCATAAAATTTTCGTATTTTGAAACAAGATTAATCACTTAAGCAAATTATGAGGTTTACTTTATTAAGTGAATGGAAAGATAAAAAGAATTGATAATTCCTAAAGAATATGTATCAGTATGATACATGGAATTTATTATGTTTAGCAGGAGGGCTTTACAGGGAATGAATATTTGCAAAATAAAAAAAAACACATTGAGAATTCATAAAAACCTTTCTAAAAATTCTTACACTGAAAGCTTGAAACCTATACTAGACTAAACACTTTAATTCCAAAAACCTTATGTATTACATATGAGTTTTATCAGCTTGTAGGTGCTTAATACTTTTATTAGGAAAGATTGTATTATGCTCTAAGTACAAAACGATAAAAAATTTAAATTAAGAGATAATGTTTCCGATGGTTAAAGAAAATTTTAGTCTCTTTTTAAAGGTCTTTTAAAACAGAATTGTAACCCTAGAATATAAATGCTTTAAGTTTAGTTTTCTTTAAATCTCTACAAATGTACTATAAACTTGTTATATAAAAATTATTGCTTTATGTTCTATTAAAAGCTAGGCAATCCTCTCCACCCACCAAGCATTTTACATTCAGTACTTATAATGCATAACTATGTATAGTGTTCATATACAAACATTCATATAAATGTCCATCCTACACAAAAATATACAAAAAGTATAGAGAATGATGTATTTTATCCAATGATATTATTGCTCTAAGATGTATTTTATTTCTAACTTCATTCCAGACTTCTAGTATAACCTGCTTGACTAAACAAATTTCAGGTTTATCAACAAAACTCTTTTGAAATTTATTATCAGATTAGAACTTTCATTATATTCCACAAATGTTGGAAACTGACCTGCTCTTTTTTGCAGTTTTTTAATAGAATAGATTTGTAATGAAAACACATTAAAAATAAGCCTAATCCACTAATGAGAATATATTTAATGTATTTATTTTAGATTTCTGATCATTTAAGGACTGCTACATGCAGAGCAAATTCATCAGGCATTTGCTTTCTTAATGCTGTTTTTAACTTTCTAGCAAGGAGTCCAAATTCTGCTGTTTTCAGTTTGGAGCAGAAAAGCATTTGTGGAGCTGTAGCTTTTAATTTGACATCTAGTTTCAGGTCATTTTCATGTAAATAGGAAACAATAGAGACCTGCTTATAATTTCTATAGAGAGTATGTTTCCTTCAACTTTATCATTTTTTCCTCTGGCAATTTTATTTTCTCTCATATTAAAAGAGCCAATAATTGTTCACAGTTATTATTTTTCATCTTTATAAAAACATGTTAGTTCCACTCTTTACTACTCAAAAGTGCTCAATGTCTTGTATATCTCAATCATACACTATCCATTAATGTTTCTAGGTGCATCCTTTCCTTAATCTGGGATAGGTTAGGTGGGTCAGGCTTTCTATTTCTTGCTATAATACATTTTCTCCAGGCTTTGTGATCTCTTTTCTACCTCTGAAAAAAAAAAAAAAAAAAACTGAAGGTGAAAATTTGGAATTGCTCCTTTGAATACAACTTACTGAAAGACATATTTAAGTTTTCATTTATAATGCTTTGAACATACCCACACGTATTACTGACTGTGCCTTCACAGTTGTAAATGTAATTTTGTGCTATTTTTTCCTTATAAATGCATATTTTATTTCCTTTTTCTGTTTCTGCTTAAACATAGATATGCTTAATTCCATGTATTTTATCATATGTACAATACCTTTCAAGTATGTTTTAATGGGGAGAAATTTCATTTTGGTGTACCTCTTTTAAATATGTTGATTTATGCAGATTAGGTTAAGTAGGAAGTTATTTTTGTAGGTAGTTATTTCCACTTGTTCCTTTTCTAGGGAAAAAATAAGAAATCAGGTAGTCTTTTAAATGTTTTATTTCCTGGATCTTCTGAACACATCAGCAAATCATGTACTTCTTTAATTTTTATCTCTGCTGTTTAATTTATAGTGGGTGAAATAATCCTAAGGTTTTTTGTTTGTTTGTTTGTTTGTTTGTTTTAATGTGCCTCATGTGCTTTCTTAGCAGTGACTCATCTATGCTCTTCTTTTTTCTGCCTCAGTGATATGACAAGAACAGTGGAGATTTCTGGAGAAGGAGGCCCTTTGGGGATACATGTAGTGCCCTTCTTTTCTTCTCTGAGTGGAAGGTAAGATGTTTTTCTTGTACCAGAAGCTCATGCTAATGAAAATCTTGACTTAAGCTTATTTTCCCAAACATTTTTCAGAAGAGGATTAAGTGCCTATCTCTATTGTTCAGATGGAAACTTTAAGATATACTTCTATTGGCCAGTTAGAAACAAAACAAAATCATTTACTGCTAAGATGCAATTAAAAAGAAAAAAATCAGCCACAGTTTCTACATTATAATTAATTATGAAGTACTTTTTTAAAGTATCCTTATCATGAAGTTCATAAAGTATTTTTAGTGACACATAGTAAACAAAATCCTTGGCAAACTTTTGAACATATTTTTAGATTAATATTGCAGCTGAAATTTACTCTTTCATAGTAAACCTCTACAAGTGAATATAGTAATTCCAAATTAATATTTCCTGATATTCCTTAGGCATGAAGAACTTAGAATAAATATTTGTACATTAGAATTTGCTATATAAAACACTGTTCATGTTTAAATGATTGTCTCCATAGTAGCAAAAAGCCATCAAGCTCTTTATTTGTTTCTAAAATAATCATTTTTTTAAAGATTTATTTTTATTTATTTATACAAGCACTGGGTACAGTCAGAAGCACGGGAGGGTGAGAGAATTCAGCAGAGCCAGAGCGGGGAGCAGAGCAGGCAGAAGGACTGAAGTACACTGCTGAGGGGAGCAGTGGGCGGCCGGAGAGGTCTGCACACCCTGTGAGACCCTCCTCCAGGGGCTGGGGAGCAGCCAGGGATCGAACCGGCGCTGCAGAGGCTGCGGGCAGCTTCGCAACCCAGCGCTAAACCTCTGAGCCACTGGGGAGGCCCCTAAAATAATCATTTTAAATGATTTGTTACAATTTTTTTTTTAATTTAGAGACATTATATTATTAAATCTATACTGGTAAATGATCATGTAGATTGTTTCAGCATTTCTTGAAGTACATATCTACCCAACTGGTTATAAAGCTTGTTTTTTGATGGAAAATAAAGTGTGTGCCTGAGAGTTAATGTTAGTACATCATAAATGCTTTACAAAACTTGTGTTATGTATTATGTCACTTTTCAGTATCATGTAATCATGATCACTTTAGAACATGATTGATATTGACAAGGGCTACCAAAAAACCTAAAAGGAAATCAGTTTCTCACTGATTTTTATTAATTTGTTACATTTATTTATTTCAATTAAATGAATCATTGAAAAGATAGAAAGCATCATCTTAATTTAGGAGATCAAAGACCAGAAAAGTCCATTGATTCTCTCAGAGTCACATAAAATCCAAGTTTCCTGCTTGTCCTCATTTCATGGCTCTTTCTAAAACAAAAATTTCCCAAAGGTTATGTAATATTAATTTACTGGTCTGAATATTTATTCAATTCAGTCTGCCATATAGTGGGAAGAACAGGTTTAGTGATGATATTTTGGTTGGCATCTTTTTCAGCAGGTAGCCATCTGCTACCTGTAATTGCAAAGTCATCACCTTTTTTTGCAAATAACATCTGATGCCAAGCTCTAGCTAAAATGAATTCTCCCTAAAAGGAATTGTGCAGAAAAGCTAGTGGCTCTTATTGTCTCATTTCCTGTGTGCGTTAATAAGCATGTTTATAAATGTTATGGGTTACAGCACAGGACAAGCTGAGGTGGTTTTTGATAGACAGGGTGAGTATTTACCCAGTTGTCACGAGAAATTCTAATGGCTTTTGGCAGAAGCGTACTGATAGAGATTTGTGAAATATCAGAGCGGTTCAATTACCAGGCCCTTTAGCTTAATAAAGGTAGAATAGAACTCAAGATCATCCCAATTTCCAAAACATGAAGAAATATACAATGTGACAGTCAGCAGACTTCATTTGCAATAGTTCGGAAAACAAGTTGACCCTACAGACAAGAATTCTCCCTTTCTCAGTTCAAATGAAGAGAATGCAGTGTAATTTATTGATTGCCTCCCTTCTCCTTCCTGGTCCTGATTTCTGGCATAAACCTTGTCTAATAGTCGAAAGAGTGTTGGCCTTAGAGAACACTTGAATCTCAATGTTCTTTTTTTTTTTTTTTTTCATAAACTTGAGCAAGTCCCCTAAATTCACCTCTTGTAAGTTGTTAATATCATGACTCCGGGGATTAAATGACATTAAAAATTTGAAAGCCCCCTGTGAAACACATGACATGTGAATGTGTAAATTATCCATATTATTATGATTTGGGTTTAAACAAAAAAGCCTGGTTCAGAAAAGAAGTTTTATAAGTTCACGGTCAACTATTCAATAACTTGGTGAAATAGTTGCATAATTTTCTTTCCTATACACTGGTATTATAGAAAGGAAATTTGATTAAAAAACATAAAAAATAATATGGAAGTGGAGACATGAGCCAATAAAAGTTAAGAAGTAATGAGTACAGGCTGAAACAGCACACTTAACTCAACCCATGTGTCTAGATGCAACCGTGTACTGAGCGTGTCAGACAAGTGTCTGACTTCATAATGCCATCTGGTTTCACTGTGTGAGCACGGGGAGTGAGGGTGCACTAAGGTCATAATGGTATACTTAGTTCTTAATTTCCTTCCATTTATTGGTTTGTGTCATTATTTTAAATTAGAATTTACATTTAATTCTTTACTAAGACTACTGTAATTGGCTTTGCCTGCCATTTCTTTCTTTTTTCTTTTAGAAAAATACTGCCACACCTGTTGTTGAATAAGAAACTTAATCTAAGTTAGCACAACCCAAGTACAATGCAGTGGTTGCTGCACTAGATTGAGCCTTACTGGATTCATTAGACACTGCAGCACTGGGTGTCGAAGGCCCCTGATTGGATTACTGAGTAAAAACATAACAAATATACAAAAAAAAACCGAGTCCCTGCAAGTAAAAAGCAGCTTCATTTCATTCATTTTTTAAAAAACAGTTGTATTCATTTGTTTTAGAATTAAATGCAAGAAATCTATTTGGTTTTCAGTAACTAGAGACCGCATGACTTGACTCAGTTTGAGTAAAGATAGCTAACCATGAGAGAAATGAAGGAAAGGATTGGTGCAGATTGACAGGGAATGTGAGAAGAGGACTGGATTAGACAGAAATGCTGAGGGAGCAGAGTGACAGAGGGAGGCTGACAGCAGAGAGAGCAGAAGGGGCCAGGCGAGGGTAGACTCTGGTCTCAGTTGTTATTAGAAAAGCAAGAAGCAATAGTTACCCCCCCATATTCTCTGGGGTTGTGGATTTCAGAGTGCTTTATCACTGCTCATGCATGCAAATTAACTGGCTTGTCTGGTCCCAAACAAGAGAGCTACCATAGTCTTCCATTTTGGAGCAAAGAAGCAAAGACAGTATTCTTTCCTGGGTCTTCTCCTACCGGTCTGGAGCAAATCAGACTGGAGGAAGCCATCCTTTCCATGGGACAGAGAGGGCAGGAGAAGGTTGTTGCCAGGGACCTAACTAATAAAATCAGTCAGTTTTACATTTTACTAAAATTACCTCTGACACATGAGTTTTACAGTTGGGCTTATTCTGTCAATAAATTTTTCATGGAAAGTTAGGTTATTTAGATCAGTGAGGCTCACATAGCATACTCCAGCTGTAATATGCCAGCTAAATTGTAACCCAGTGGCCTGAAAGAATTAATTCATCTCCCAAAATGTGAAATTAAATCCTAGGGAGTAACATTACATGACTGATGATGTACTGAATTAAATTAAAGGAAGACTTGAATGCTTGTTAAAAAAAATATCGCTTACATAAACTAGTTTATAACCACATGTGAGCCTCCTAATGGATCGTGTTATTATGAATCCACCATAACAAAAATCCAAAATGTGAACTATTCAAGGGTTGTTTAATTTAGGAAAGAAACCCTATTTTGTTATAGTTCTTTGCTGGTTTTGCATGTCAAATAATTCAATTTTTAATATTATGTTACAAGATTAAGGTATTAGTACCTTAAAAATATTAATTTGAACCTCAGATCCTTTATCAAACAGTGACTTTCACCCCTTTTCTCATCCATACAGAATGTCTGATTTACTAACCTGCTAAATGGAGGCTAAAAGGAGTAAAACACAGCCCCTCTCCACACACTTGTGCCCCTGACCCTGAGCAGTAGGTGGCGTGACTATTTGCTGTTGTCTCTCCATCAGCCTACTGGATTCATTTAGCTTTTTTGAAGCAGAGATTTAAATATCACCGCCTGTGCCTCTCCTCTCATGGTCCTGCGATGACATGAGCTCATTAAAGGAACTGAGGCCCTGGAGGCAGAGGCTCCGCTTTGTGACTGTTCCAAACAGGAAGGTGGTTTTCTCCTGCACTTGCATTAGAGAGTGCCCTTTTTTCCATGGTGGGCCCCATTACTCACGCACAAAATGTGCTCATGTTTTATTTAGATTTGAGATTTAAAGAGACATGTCATATCACACAAGACCCCCATGCAAAAAAGAATGACAACAAAACAAGAGGATGGGGCGATGTCTGGCAGCTTCTCCAGACCCAGCAGGTTGCTCTAGGAGATAGCTGGCTATCTTTCTTATTGAGACACAGCTCAGACCCTCACTTGTCCCAAGAAAGGAAAGCCCTCCAATGAGAAGTAGACAAATTAAATACAATTTTAATTTCTTTTTGTTTTTATTTTAGATATTACTAATATGTAATAGAGACACACACGTAAATACTTATGAATAATTTAACTCATTTTTATTGTTGTTGCCAATCTTCTTTCACCTTCCCTTTCTTTTCCAACCCTCTCCCCTCCTGAGCCTGAGCCACAGCCACAAAGCACCAGGAGCCTCTCTGAATCCAGACTCTTCCTGGTTGAAGTTTCATACAACTCCCCCCCAAGTCCCGCCTTCTTCATGAGTGTCTTGCTCACAAGACAGTGAGTGGGGTCGGGGCGCTACTCTGGCCTCATCAGATTAAGTGCATCATCCTATGGACTCTGTCATGTAGCACTGGCTCCCCATCGAGGGTTAGCTGCTTGCAGGCTCCTAGCTCAAGCCAGCCTCACCCAGGCATACCCCGGGCCCCTGCACCCTCCTCCCCCTCAACCCCATGGACATGTTCTCACCCATCCAAATACTACTTACGTTTTCTGATACAGTTTACATCCCACTTTCTTCTCAAATCCTTCTGGAAAGACTCTAAACTTTTGAAATTTTAAATATCTACTCTACTCCAACCCATAATGAACATTTTCCCTGGTTCGGCAGCCTTGTCTCATCATACCTCTCCACCCTCAACACTCAACACTTAGTTGATTCAGTGGCTCTAACTAATGGACACCAGTGTATTCTACACGGAGTAATGTGATCTATGTTTCAATGTTTGTGTACTTCTTAAAGTAGAAATTATTGGAACAGGTAGTAAGACTGCAAAAATATTACAGTGAATGCCTTATGCTCTCTCATTACTAAACATCAAGTCACCCCTTTGACACTAACTCAAACCTACTTATGACAACCAGCTGTCCAGCTGTGATGGCCTTCTCCAAACCACGAGCCCTTTGTGTCCTCAACTCCTTGGCCTGGACTTTTCTAAGTTTACTGCAGTTAAGAGAAATGAGATTGTAGATGAATGTCCTCTGGATTGGTGCTTGTATGTATTTGTCTTGAAGGGCTTTTTCTCTTTTAGTGAATTGTTTTTGTTTTAACTGAGCATTTCAATAACAATTGCCTGAATATAAAGCATAATATTTCTTCATAAATAGAAATCAATACTTATTTATGAATAATTGCAAATAGAGAAATAATTAACATATCATTATCCAGTAATTCTATTTCAAACAAATTTTGCATTTAGAATTCTAGGACTCTTCATCCGTGGCATTGAAGAAAACAGCAGGTCCAAGCAAGAGGGTCTGTTTCACGAAAATGAATGTATTGTAAAAATCAACAAAGTGGACCTCACAGACAAAACCTTTGCTCAGTAAGCATTTTCTTCATTGTTTTGTTTGCTTTATTGATCCCTAGAATGTTTGTGATCATTACTGTGCTTGTTATGATCAAAATCGTAGGCAGAATTTCTGGTCAGTTCCCTTTGAATGACCCTAGGACATTCATTCTCAATTGCATCTGTGTTTTAGCAGGCTCAGAGGTGGCCACATGTGTCCCCGCCTGCCCTGAGAATGTAAAGCACAGAACACAGCAGCCTTCTGCCCGCTTGCTTTTCTGGGGCATCGATAGATAAGTTTGTTTTTCTTGGGATATGGGTCAGTTATCCTGCTATTTAATGACTCCCTTCACAGACCATTAGCTTGACTTATTAATTAACTTAACAACAGCCTTCCTTAAACTAAATATCTGTGAGAGATGTCTGTGAGGACTCACTGACTGATAGAAACAAATGAAAAAAAAAAGGTAAAGTACACTCCCTCAATAATTTGTTTCTTTGCATGTGAAATTGTACCAAAAATAGGTTCTTACACTTAATGGTCATCATGTGTTGCCATGTGATGCCTATTTTTTTTTAACTGTATGCTGACATATAGAATAAATGCTAATACTTCCTAGTAATGATCACCAGCTTTCTTGTTTCTAACCCAAACAATTCATTGTATGTCCTTTCTGTGGCTGGTTGTCTTCATTATTTTGTGTGTTTGTGGAAGATTGTAGACAGGGGCAATGCACACGGGTTGTTTAAGTGTGGAAAGGCAGCAAGCCAGGAGAGTCTATTTCTTAGAATAATACATATTAAACAAAATATTATTGATAATATTATTTTTATATACCACTGTGCTTTTTACATGTGCATAAAACATATTATTACCCCTTTTTTATACAGGTAGAAACTGAGGAAATTTAGCTTATGGAAATTTAGCATAGAATTAGGATGGAGTCAAAATTGACTCCTAGTCAAGGAACTGACCATGGAAGTTGGGCTGTGTATATGGTGCCTTCTCCCTTCTCCCCGGAATGAGCAAAATTAAGGATTTGGGGAAAGTGAAGGGGGCTCAGCAGACATAAGTGTTTGTTATTTGGTGTGACTGCTAATAACAAAAACCTGAAAGCTACCTTAGACAAGATTAAACTTTATTTTTCCGATGCATCATTAAGTGTGGAGTGGCAGTCCCGAGTTGGGAAGGCAATTCCATAGTTAGCAGCAAGGCAGCCATTTTTCCTCCCTCTGCTTTGCAGTCCTACTTGTGTGACTACTATTGTTTCATTGTATCATCATCACAAGATGGCTACCAGAGTGCAGTTCCTCCATCTCAGTTTTAAGAAATGGGAAGGAGATATAGGAGAACAAAAAAAAAAGTTTCTGGTCTTCAGAATAGTGTCTTTTCCTCAGAAGAGTGTCTTTTCCTTAACCCCTCAATTACATCTCATTTTGATGAGACAGGCTAGGACAGGTAGTTGTTTTTATCTACTCATAGGGCAGGAAGAAGAAATCATAAAAACTAGTAAGAAAATTGAGGAAGAACAGAAAGTGCTAAGACAAAAAAAGAAGTATAAAATCCAGGTTCTCTGTAATAGAATTACAGGGGTGCATATTGGATGGACCATCCACTGTGACAGTTCATACAACCAAGACACCTATCACTTTTCTCCATGAGGAAAGGCTTGTGTCAAAAGTGAGTTTCAAGAACACAATTCACTCTAGACATGACCTGTACTTTAGAGCAAAGTACAAAAAGGAAACTAATTGATAATCTAAATAATGAAAGCAGAATATATAACACCTCCTGTGTGCATGTAAGCCCCGTTGCATGGGGGCAGCTTTAGATGTGAGCTAGAATTCAATGTCTTGCCTAACTCTCTTTCAAGGGCTCAAGATGTCTTCCGGCAGGCGATGAAATCTCCAAGTGTGCTCCTCTGTGTGCTTCCACCTCAAAACCGTGAACAGTATGAAAAGTCGGTCATTGCACCACTTAGCATTTTTGGTAGCAATGATGGTGCTTTGAAAGCAAAAGTGCCAGCTTCCACCCCGGGAAAACCCGGACTAAAGACAGGAAGTCTCATGGGAGCAAGCAGTCCTGAAGAAGAAACACCAACTTCCCTGCAGCAAAGCAAGAGCCCCCGAGTGCCAAGAGTACCTAGAAAGCCACCGTCTCCCTCACTCTCTCCTCTCATGGGGTTTGGCAGTAAGAAAAGTGCAAAAAAAATTAAGATTGACCTAAAGAAAGGTAATTATTGAATTATGTTTAATGGCATTCTATTATTGAAACATGGAAAATTGGTTAAGAGAAATGCATTAAGGCTAATTTTGTTAATTCTCTCTTCATTTAATTATGTCAAAGAATAGATTTAAGTATATACTTAGATAACTGAAATTTCTTGAAAATTTAGTACTTAGTTTTTCCTTCTGGACAGTATAGCTTATTTGAAATAAGAAAATAATACGTGCATGTTGAGGAGTCAAAAAATCACTGCAGAACTTGACAGAAACAGATCAATATGGTATTAGAACTTAATACTACATAGGCATGAAAATTCAGGTGTCCATGTTTTGAGGACTGATTTTTGTGTTTTGTTTGTTTTTTTAAAGATTTATTTATTTATTCATACAAGCACTGGGTACAGTCAGAGGCTCAGGAGGGTGAGAGAATTCACCAGAGCCAGAGCGGAGAGTAGAACAGGCAGAGTGACTAAGTACACTGCTGAGGGGAGCAGCAGGCGGCAGGAGAGGTCTGCGCGCCATGTGGGACCCTCGTCTGGTGGCCGGGGATTGAACCGGCACTGCAGAGGCTGCGGGCAGCTTTGCAACCCATTGCTCAACTGCTGTGCCACCAGGGAGGCCCTGAGGCGTGATTTTTGAAGCTTCATTTAGATCAAGTCCAAAGAACCAATATTTTTTCTCATTTTCTAAGAATTTGATGTCAGCAAAAACTTTGCTCCTCCAAAAGAAAGTATGTAATAATTATTAATTTAACTTAACTTATTTAATATTATAATTTCTCAAAGCATGTTTAATTTCAAGAGAATGTGTAACTTTCATCTTCCTTTTCAATGTTTCTATCGCAAACACATATCAATGAAACTAGATCATGTGTATATATGTATATTTTATGCAGTATTATATATACACATAAGTCTGTGGTTTTGTGTTTTATAACATCTGACAATTCCTTCCCACATTCCCACCTCCTTCAATGCCAGTATTAAAAATGTAATTTTTAATACTCAATTCAAAAGAAATTGGTTTTCTCATGGATTATTGTCTGAATTAACAAAACAAAGACATCTGTGGCTTTGATCCAAGGTAGTCTTGACATATTTATTAGCACATATCAAAAGCAAGTAACTGGTACCTTTAATCTGGTATAGAGATTATTCTAGAAAGCTCCTCTGGTCAAAATTTCATCCCCCTATTAGAATTCTATTTTGGGAATAAAATTCATTGACTACGAGACACAGATAATCAGGTATGCTTAGCAGTTAGGTTATTTTATTTAAATGTATCAGTTATAGTTTTGGGTATGAATTATCCAGCTATTTATATGTTAAAGGGTTGAGTGCTCAGAGGATAAATGAGTGAGCCATACTATGTAAACGTAAAAATACATTAGGAATCTTTGAATGCAAAAAATAATATTTTGCATTATTGTGTGTAATATAACCTCACAACTCTACTTCAGGAAGATTAATATGACAGCAAATAGAGATCCAGAAGTAAAAACCAAACAACTGAGAATGTGTAAATGGTATACTTCATCTGTCTGAATATAACGTGTGCTTTCTTAAGCACCTGGGTATGGAAGGGAAGAGAAAGAGAAATTTTAGTTATTGCTAAATTTCTCAACCAAGGTGGCTTGTACAATGGAGATACAGTTTTAGAAATTACAACTTTAAGTAGATGAGTATATGTGACAAGGTCAGAATCTGGAATGGTAAAGGAGTTCATAGAAAAATTTGAATGGTGATGAAAGTATGGATGGATATAGTGATACCTTAAACACTGAAGTGAGAAAGATTATGGTTAAACATAAACATTTGGGTATCCTGCAGAGGGGTTTGGGTGTTGGAGCCAGGAGCTGGTGAAGAATCTAGCAAATTGTTCCAGAATAGACCCCTGGAAAACATGTATGTATCTGTGGAAGAAAATGGGTAAGGAGAGGTAGATATGATATAATCAGAGAAATAGGAAAATAAGCAGAAAAGAAAGGTATGAAAGCAAAGGGGAGAGTTAATTTCAAGAACATGATTGGTAGTAAGTATAAAAGCTAGAGAAGGGGAAAGACCAAGAAGAGAGAGAATTACTGAATGTGGTCACAGGTAGGTCGTTGATGATAGCTTGAAGAAGAAGGTTGATTGAACTCTATGGATTCTTGAGGGTAGAGAAATCTGATAGAGAAATTAGAAAGATTGGACAATATGCTGGAAAATAAATACTGGATATGCAAGAGCTTAAGGGCAGGAACCATGTGGGTGAGTGAGTGAGCAACTGAGATGTGCAGCTTATAAAGAATTGAAGCAGGGACCTCCCTGGTGGCGCAGTGGTTGAGCGCTGGGTTGCGAAGCTGCCCGCAGCCTCTGCAGCGCCGGTTCGATCCCCGGTTGCTCCCCGGCCACCCGAGGAGGGTCCCACATGGCGCGCAGACCTATCCTGCCGCCCGCTGCTCCCCTCAGCAGTGTACTTTGGTCCTCTGCCTGCTCTGCTCCCTGCTCTGGCTCTGGTGAATTCCCTCACCCTCCCGCACTTCTGACTGTACCCAGTGCTTGTGTAAATAAATAAATAAATCTTTAAAAAAAAAAAAAGTCACTGATTTCATGACAAAGAATAAGAAAGTCATTATAATTAAAAAAAAAAAAAAGAATTGAAGCATAAGTGGAGAAGGATGCCACAGGTTCAGTAGCTGATTGGAAGCCTGCAAAATTCATGTCAGATGGCTTTTTGCTTCTCCAGAAAGTATGAAGTCAGGTTGTGGTTTCCTGAGAATTCAGTCTTCCTTGCATATGTATAACATTTAACATTTATTCCAGGACCTTAATAAGTGAAAGTGTTATACCACTGCAAGGGGCCCTACATTTACTCTGATACCATCAGGGCCTGTCAGGAATGATAATCTGTATTTGAAATTACAATAACTGAGGCATATTTAAAATATATGCTGGAATGTAAATGTTTCACTTATTCTTTATTTGTCTAAATTAGCTAGATTTCACTGTAAGATTGAATATAGTATTATACATGCTTAAGGTGACTGTGCATTTTTCTTATACACTAGGCCCTGAAGGACTTGGTTTCACTGTGGTTACCAGAGATTCTTCCATCCATGGTCCTGGTCCCATTTTTGTAAAAAACATTTTACCAAAGGGAGCAGCAATAAAAGATGGTCGCCTGCAATCGGGGGACAGAATTTTGGAGGTAAGAATTGAAATTATCAATAAATGGTGCTGGGAAAATTGGGTTGCTACATGCAAAAGAATGAAGCTTGACCACTACCTCACACCATACACAAAAACCAACTCAAAATGGATTAAAGAACTAGACATAAGACCTGAAACCATAAAATATATAGAAGGACATATAGGCGAAACACTACGTGATTTGCACATCAAAGACATCTTTACAGATACATCACCCAAAGCAGTGATAGTGAAGAGAAAGATAAACAGCTGGGACTACATCAAATTAAAGAGCTTCTGCACAGCAAAAGAGACAATAACAAAAACAAAGAGAAACCCCACTGACTGGGAGAACATTTTTGCACCCAACACTAATGATAAAGGACTGATCACAAAAATCTGCAAAGAGCTGATGAGACTCAACAACAACAAAGAAAATAACCCAGTGAAAAAATGGTCAGAAGAGCTAAAAAGAAACTTCTCTGAAGAGGAAATGCAAATGGCCAACAGACATATGAAAAAATGTTCAACATCACTTGTCATCAGGGAAATGCAAATCAAAACTACCATGAGATACCATCTTACACCAGTGAGAATGGCACATATTAAAAAAACTAACAACAACAAATGTTGGCGAGGTTGTGGAGAAAAAGGAACTCTTGTGCACTGTTGGTGGGAGTGCAAACTGGTCCAACCACTATGGAGAGCTGTGTGGAGATTTCTGGACCTACTAAACATAGAGCTTCCATATGATCCAGCAATTCCACTCCTAGGTATTTACCCAAAGGACACAGAAACATCAATTCCAAAGAGCACCTGCACCCCTGTTTATAGCAGCACTGTTTACAATAGCAAAGCTTTGGAAACAGCCCAAATGCCCAAAAATAGATGACTGAATCAAGAAGATGTGGTACATATATACCATGGAATATTACTCAGCATTCAAAAAAGATAAACACATGCAATTTGCAGCAACATGGATGGCACTGGAAGGGATCATGCTCAGTGAAATAAGCCAAAAAGAAAAAGAAAAATACCGGATGGTCTCACTCATAGCAGGAATCTAGAAAACTTAAATAAGGAACCAGGAAAATGAATAACTATAAGAAAGTGAAAATCAAAATCAACAAAAAACTATGAACCAGAGACACTTTTTGGGGGTGGGGGGCGGGAGGGGAGGGATTGGGGTCAGAATGGGGGGTTACAATTGTATGGGGAATATAAAAATAAAATTTATTATAAAAAAATAAAAAAATAAAAAAAATAAATAAAACCAAAAAAAGAGAAAAAAAAGAATTGAAATTAATATCTTCAATCAAATGTTTCTTGGCATTTAAATATGTATATGAACATATGTTAAAATTTGAATACATATATTGAAAATTATTGCTTATAGACCAATGAGGGCCTTAATTATAAAACTACTGAGTGGCTTGGTGTTGAAAGTTCCCAAGAAAGGGCAGTTATTTAGGGATAAGTAATAATAAGAACATTTCCCTTCTGTCTTGCATCCACCCCCCTGAAGCTCCCAAGGGATCTTGTTCAAATCTAGGAGTTAAACATATTTTCAGTTAGGGCTAAGAATTTCAAAGTCAACTGAAGTCCTGGTACCAGTTTCTTTAAACTTCTCACAGGGATGGGCCAGTCTGGCTCAAGTTGATCTATGTCTATAGAGAAGTATTTTGAACACACAAAGCAAGAGTATTTTGCTGTTAGTTCCTTTTTGTCATTCATTGTCAATGAGATCATCATCTTATTGGCTAAATATATACTGACAACTATCTTTCAAGAAATTATCTTCATTGAAAATGGCTGTTTCCATCTAAATTTTTCAAGACATGAAAGCAACACTACAGCTTATCATGTATTTCTAGATCAGGAAAGATAACTCAATGACTAATATAGCTCCAAATTAAAATTTCCCATAATATATGATAATCTGGTGACCATCATTTTCTAAACATGGACACTGGAATTATAGCAAAAAATTTTGTTTCTAGAGGAATATGTCATGTGATAATGGTCCATTTCTGCTTTTTGTATTAGACAGAAATGGTACCAGTTAAGCGTTTTGAAGCTGCTTCATTCCTATTTGAGTTCACTGGTATATGCTAGGGATCAAAACAGAGGAGGGAATAACACAAAGGGCTATGGTGATGGATCACTGGTGGTTTGGTGGTGGGGAAACTACGGGGACTTCATCTAAGGGGAGAAATCAAATAATGTATAGAAATTAACAACAGTGTAAGAAAGTAAATAAATAACTTCAATAATAATAATAAAAGAATGTGGTATTTTAGGAAAAACTGCTGGTATTAAGTACTGACTATCTAAGCCCATCCAGCACCATAATAATGACAACTGGTTTTATTGGTATTTTTCAAGTGGTGAGTTTGGCCCATGTTTTCAGTTTTTCAGAACTTCACTGCCTATAGGAACCCATTTGCTGCATTCTCCCAGAAGCCCTCTAGATAGAAGGAGATGGAGGGCAAGTGTTCCGCTGGTGACTATTCACATGATTGTCTTCCTTAGGTGAATGGCAGAGATGTCACAGGTCGAACTCAGGAAGACCTCGTGGCCATGCTGAGGAGCACTAAGCAGGGAGAGACAGCATCACTGGTCATCGCCCGCCAAGAAGGAACTTTTCTGCCCCGAGAGCTGGTAATATTCAGATCACTGTCTCATTCAATTTTCAATGCAGAGCTCAATATACTTGGTCAATTTATTGGAGCTGAGAAGTGAGTTTTAAACCTCAGGCTATATTTGTAGCAGATATTGAATCATAGCAAGAATATTTTGCCCCATTAGGGTGTCACAGTTTAGGATGTTCATTTGATGGAGCCTGGATGCATCAATTTATACCCAGTAAAACACTAATTTAGGGTATAAATCCAAATATCCTCTTAAGGAAACAATTTAATAATATTCAGCTAAATAAAATAGATGTTGAGTATGTGCTGGGTCCTATGCAAAACACAGCAAAAATGTTTATGTCCCTACCTTAAATCAGCTTGCTGTCTGAAAGAACATAAAAATATAATTAATTATTCAAAATGGTGAAGATTATGAAAGAGAACTGCAGAGTCCAACGGGAACATCATCCCGAGGGCTGTGAAAAGGAAGAGAAAGTTTTGAGGAAGAGAAAGTTTTATTAAGAAAGTCGACTATAAACTGAAGCATCCAGAGGGGAGGGGGTATCTGGGAAGCGCTCAGGACAAAGAAAGAAGAACAATGGATTGTGATAATGGGCTATGGGTGATTTGGTGGCAGGTGTGCTACAGTAGCCATACCTGATGGGGGTATCCTAATATTACCTCAATTACAAATATTAAATGAATTAATTTTAAAAAATGAATAGAGGAAACATAAAAAGACAGTGAAAAAGAAGGTTTACTAAAGGCAACTAAAAGTTACAATGAATTTTTCCTTCAATTCTTTATTTGTGGAAAGACCTTGATCTTACCCTTTTTTTCTCCCAAAGATTTATTTATTTATGTATACAAGAGCTGGGATACAGGCCAGAGGAGTGGGGGGTGAGAGGATTCACCAGAGACAGAGGGGAACAGAACAGGCAGATCCACCAAAGTACACTGCTAAGGGGAGCAGTGCGCAAGACAGGAGAGGTCTGCTCTGCCATGTGGGTTTCTCCCTGGCCTTCCGGGAAGCAAACTCATACTGCAGAGGCTGTGGATTGATTCATAGTGTGGTGCTTAACCCCTTGCGCCACCAGAGAGGCCCTGATCTTACTCTTTAAGAACTACTATAGAAAGAAACACTAAAGGGGGTCATTGTTATATAGAGGGGGGAGCCCTTTCACTACTTCTCCCATTCTTTAGTTGGTGGAGATTAGAACTCTTGTTCAGGAATAGAAGAAAAAGGAAAGAACTTTTGGCTGTGTATTCTGTTGAACTCTGGTCATAGATGGAGTAAACCCCTGTATGGAAAAATTTCATTCTTATGCATGCATGAAAAATAATCTAATGACAGAGACAATTCTGAGACATCTGGAAGTTAGTAAATGGAATACTAGAATTCCTGGACTAAAAAGAGTAGAAAGAATCTGTGAATCCAGTTCTAACTTTGCAAGTGAGAAAACATAGGGTTGCTATGATTGAGTAACCTGGAACTAGAGGCTTAGGTTTCTTAGCACTTAGTATTGTCTCTAACATTTAGCAATCTGTGCTCAGCTTCTAATATGTAAACCACTTACTGTGTGAGCTAGAGAAGGTCACAAAATCATTTCAAGGCTCAGTGTCCTGATGTGCATCATAAAATAGTTGTGAGAATTAAAAGAGATAATGCATGCAAAGCTCTTAGCATATTTTCTGATCAATTGTAAGTGCTCAGTAGGTGTTGGCTGTAATTATTTATCCTGGTGCATTACCACTGTGGTAGTACTATAAACACATACTGTATTGTAGATACAATATGGGATAAATAGGTTTATGCAGGCTTGCTGCAGATTAATGACTATTTTGAACATTGTTTTCTTGTTTATTATTTCTTCTTTTAGTTTAAAATGTGTCCTGGCATCCAAATTGTTTTAACCAATCAAATACATAAGTCAGGCAACATACATATTTTATTTCACTGTCATTTACTAAGACGTTAGTGAAATTTGATTTCTGTCCCAGAAAGTGACCACAACAGGCTAAGCCAACCAAAGAGTATATTAAATTAATTTTAAAGCAATGAGCTTATGAGTGCAAGTAAATTATTTTTTCCTCATTGTTTTCGGTTTTATACAAAATTTGGAGGTCATGTGGTTACAATCCGTTCTCTTAGTATTCTTTGGTAAAGATTCTAAACTCTAGAAAATATTTGACTTCTGACCATCCAAATATGTGGAATATTCTGTGTAACCACAGCAAAGCAAGGACCATTGATCATGGCTTATAAGACCCTAAATAATGTGTGAACCCATAATCTATATTTTGGAGAAATAAGGAATTATATTCTTTTCCCAGCCCCAATGCCTACCTTGAGTACTAAGTACAAGATCCACACAGGAAGTTTAAACAGAGATCATGTTTGGCCTGTGTGGAGTTATTTCAGTGGGAATTACTTCATAGTGAGACATGCACTGGACTAGTGAAGGAGCAATGTGAAGAACAGGGTGCCCTGTGATACGTCTTTGTATTTTCGTTTCAAAAAATTGAAGGAGGTATCACTTTGTTCTCTTTTCCCTTATCATGATGGATGTACACACTTGACTTTCCATTGGAAATCTGGCAGGATGAAGGAAGGACAGCATTTCCTGCTTTTGTCTTATTCTATCTCCTTTGAAGAAACAAACTGTGTTTATTTGTTTTTCGACTCTGAGAAACACTCCTCTCCCTTCTGTTAAGCCTTGCTATTTCACCAGTTCCATACCCCCCCGCCCTTAACCGAACTGCTCTGCCTGTTTTGTGACAGTTAAATCTCCCTTACTTCCTTGTTATCATTAGCTTCTGATTAAGCCTTAGCACTTACAGCTAAGGGAGCATGTGGTCAGCAGTTATACAGGAAGTCCCAATATAGGCTGGTCTCTCGGATGTGACCCTCTGTTATTCCAAAGACCTTTAGCATCCATTTCCTGGTCATTTTCTCTCGACCTGCCACAGAAGAGTGCTGTGCAGAATTCTTTTCCTTCTCGGTCCTTGTTCTTCCTGGGCCATTGGTTAGTATCACAAATGCAGCAGCACGTGTAGCCTGCTCTTGTTCCATGTGTGGCAGGCTGACTTGAAAATCAATAGAGGAATTTATGTCATAACACCACAACTATTTTGCTCTTTCTAGTGCCTTTACCAAAAGAATTATGCTTCAAAAGTAATCTTTCCAGAATCCTTGTCTGAAAAATCCTTTGTTGTCCTCACCCCTGACCGAGTAAGAGTTTATTAAAGAAGTATTCACATAAGGAAGATTTTTGCAGAAGAAAGTTTGAGATTAGTGTTGGTAACAGAATTGGAAGGTGAAACTGCTGTGTCTGCCTCTGCGCTGGAATGAAAACTATGTTACTTCATCAGTGGTTTGTTTGGTCTGTTCTGTGAGGGAACTCGTGTACTAGTTCCTTTACCTCCCTGGCATCTGAAATTATTTTTTCTTATGCATAGTATAAGAAGATATAAAGCTATCTTCCTGGTTAGGAAAGATCCTGAAAAACTGAAGTTTTTTAAATTTATTTCATGCTTTTGTCAGCCCTTAGGGAAAAAAAAGTTAAATCTTATGAGAGGCAGATGCTGTGTTATTTGCCGTGTATGTGCACGTGTGCATATGTCTTCTTTTACTGGGGAGGGATTCTGTCATTTCTTTGTTAACCTCTTTAATGTTTCATTTTCTGACCTGCTGCCTTATCTTTAAATTATCCTGAAAATCACAGCAACCCCTGGTGGGTAAAACGAGCTGAGAAAGTTTCAAATGTATTTATAATTTCTCCCTGCCAAGTTTGCCTGCTATTAAATGCTAGCCTCTGCAAGTGGGATTAACTATATTTCAAGCAAGCAAGTCGCTCCTGCCCGGCATGATTGAGATACCAGAGTTAGCCATGTTTGTCATGCTGATTTGGCCTTCACTTAGGAATATTACTTTTCTGAGAAAAAAAAAATGATGCACACATGCATGAAGACTCCTTTAATAGTTGCTGAACTCAGGGTATTCTCACACTGCTGTGTTTACTAGACCCTGTGACTACCCTAGCAAATGAGTTGTGACTCCCAGCATTTTCACCATGTACTCCAGCTTCTTATAAAATGAAAAATTCCCACCTTCACTGTCAAATTATTTAGCATTTTGATTCATGCAGGAATATTGGGTTGAAATTTTAGATGAACCTCATTTAACTGATACATTATTTTATTCCCTTTGGCTATTTGATTCAAATAACTCCATGCTTAATTAACCAAGATACTTAAGGAAGAGTGAACATTATAGCAGTTATTTGTGGATAAGTAGCAGAAATTGAAGGCTGATTTTAGAATGATTTTTCTACTTAAACCAAAGTACAAGAGTTATGTCTTGGAATTTAAATAATTATGCAAAAACCGAAATGCATTGTCATAGTTTATTCATTCTCTAAGTAACACATATCTAGTGACTTAATATGGAGTCATTCCTAAGGTAAAATCTCTACCGGTTCTTCTCCCTATGGTAATTTCCTTCTTACTGCATTTTCATTCAACCAGTATGTATTTAATCCTAAACATGTCTCTGCAACATGAACTCCAGAGATGAATGAGATATGTTCCTGTCCTCAAGATGCTTCTAACCAGTCAAGAGGAATGATGAGATAATTGAATTAGACACATGAAATATTATAGGGATTCAAAGTAGGGAATCAAGAAAACCTTCAAGATCACAGGCGTGTTTGAGAAGAGTTTTGATGATTGAGTAGTGATATCAGAATGTAGACATGAAGAGAGGTAGGAAATAGCATCTTCAGATACTCAGACATTGGAAAACACAATGTATATCAAGGAGATATCCAGAAGATCATGGGTTGACCAACTTGACACATTACTGAACAAAAGACTAACAGAGAAGTAGTATTGTTTGGAATAATTAGATGGGACTGAAGAGATGTTTGGAACTCACTAGAATATAATTGTAGGAGCTTGAAATTGAAATCAGTTAGAACTGGTTTCAATCTTAGCTTTACTGCTTACTGGCTGAATAGTCTTAACAGA